ATGAGTTCGAACATGGGTCATCTCTGATGAAAAAGTAGGTCACTGGAGCTAAAAATAAAAAAACCTTGTCAACACTCTAGCGGTCACATTTTTGCATCAATCATCATCAAACTTGGTCAGGATGCTTATCTAGGTGATAGCTTGCATAAGTTCGAACATGGGTCATCTCAGATGAAAAACTAGGTCACAAGAGCTAAAAATAGAAAAACCTTGTTAACACTCCAGCGGTCACATTTTTGCCTCAATCATCATCAAACTTGGTCAGGATGCTTATCTATTTGATAGCTCACATGAGTTCGAACATGGGTCATCTCGAATGAAAAACTAGGTCACAAGAGCTGAAAATAGAAAAACCTTGTTAACACTCTAGTGGTCACAATTTTGCCTCAATCATCATCAAACTTGGTCAGGATGTTTGTCTAGGTAATTGCTCGGATGAGTTCGAAATCGCATGTGAAACTAGGTCACCGGAGCTAAAAATAGAAAAATCTTGTTAACACTCTAGTTGCTACTGTTTTGATCCAAGTATCCTGGAAATTGGTCTGAAAGTTTGTTTTGATGATTTCTAGGTCAAGTTTGAATATTGGTCACCTGGGTAAAAAACTAGGTCATACTGCTTAAATATGGATAATCCTTGGTCACATTTTTGACTCACCTGTCATGAGACTTGGTCAGAATGCTTGTCTAGATAATTGTTTGGATGAGTTTGATGGGTCAGGTGAGCGATCTAGGGCCATCATGGCCCTCTTGTTTGAATAACCAACTAATATTTAATTTCTTGGCATGTGACCTACTAATTGTCAGGGAGTAATTATCATATGCTTTACCAGAAGATGGAGGTAACTAATCCAATGCTGTTCTGATTGAGCCAAGAGAATGTACAGTTAGTGAACATGGCTGACTAAGAATGACTTGTTCTTTGCTATTACAAGTTCAAATCTTCCTAAACACCTGAATTTTATCATGTTAGAAGGCTTTCATGCTTTCTAAAGGAAGGTTAGTGGTTCTACTTTAGTGCCAGCTTGTAAACAAAAGAATGTAAAGAGGGGAACCCTAGGTCTTCTTCCACCAGTTTAGCTTAAAAGCTGCCATATGGCATTACAATATCCTTTTGACTGGAACAGCCAAATTAAAAGAAAGAAATTTCTGTAATATTTACAAGAAGAACAGCCACTATGTAATGAGCTATTCAGTAATATTGTTTATTTAGCATATGATGATAGGTCATTGCAACAATTTTAAGATTAGTCGTAAAAATGACTATAATACATCACATTTAAATGATTTTTCTGTCTCAAATCAATTTATAATTTTTATGCTTCCAAGGACAGGTATAGAATGATTGGAATGTATGTATGATCTTTCATAATATTAAACTTTCAAGATAAATTAGACAATTGCACAAAGGCAAAGAACAAAATATTTGCAAATTTCATGACTGACATCCGTGTTTTCCACTGTTACAGTATCAAGGGAAACAATCCTAGCACAGTAAATACTGTATATTTGTTACAGTTATAGAACATTTATCCATAGAGACCTCTATGCACGTTGTTGAGAGGCACAGGCCATTGGCAGAGATTAGAAGAACTCGAGATGCCGACAATAGATAAATAAACACCGATTCCCTGACAGAAGCCAGGGGAGTTGCCCTACAAAGTAGACATGGACGAAGAGGAAGGGGCTATAGCAACAACAGCCCATATAAGGGCTACCTCATTTTCACATTGTCTCGGGTCACTGTAAATTAAGGTGCTCATTGACCGCTGAACAGTGACCTACTTTCGATTTTGCTGAATACTCCTAAGAAATTGCAGGAATGTAAATTATCGCCATTTTGTGCTTCAAAATTAACCCTTTAAGTGCCTGCCTATCGACATGTCCGGTGTCCATACTCAATGGCGAAAGCTGCTCTTTGTACCTTAATGTGCGGATGGAACCTCATTAGGCATAGACTGCACACAAACGATCCTTGTAGAACCGTCCGGTTAGCTCAAGAGGTAAAGCGTTGAATTGTGATTCTCGGACCGTGCACGTCACTTCCGTTGTGAAAGATCACGTCTACGGTCATTCGCATTGAACCCTTGCGAAAGTGAAGGCAACTAGTAAGGGTTAACTGTTTCATCGCCTGCCTAGGAGCCACTAAGTGGCTGAACTGTTCTCTGGTGCATTCAAAGTGACCTACTGTCGTGATCCGGGGTGTAAACTACCACCACCACCAAACAAATTCTTGGACCGGTGACACCAGGTATTTTGTGCAATAAACGTGCAGCTTAAATCTGTCTTTATTCTTAAATTTACACGCAACTAAAGCCAACAAAATAACACTGAGTTATCCCCTGTACCCTGTATAGTTGCCTAAATTTCTCTTTTGCGCTTAAAATTGGTAAGGCAAATTGGTATCATTATATGTAACTAGAACTTATAGCTTTGCTCTATGTATATCAAGTACAAATCCATCGAGTTCTTCAAAGTTTGAGGTTTATTTTTTCTAATTTCCTAAGGGTTTCTCTGGCAAGTTAGATGTAATATAACAAATGTATATTTTTATACGCCCGTTTGAAAAACGGGTTGTATTATTATTTCCCTCCTGGCGAGCGGCTGGGCGTGCGGCGTTCATTTTTTGTCTGACCCCATGGAGGAATTTTAATGAAACTTCATAGATTGTTCACCACTATGAGAAGCCGTGTCGCGCGCATGAACCAGGTTTCTAGGTCAAAGGTCAAGGTCGCACTTAGAGGTCATTGAAAAGTGCTTGTCCGGAGCAAAACTCATATACATGCATAGAGGGATTTCAATATTACTTGGCACAAATGTTCACAATTGTGAGGCGGAGTATCGTGTGCAAAATTTAGGTCTCTGCGGCCAAGGTCAATATTGAGGAACTGAAAACACAAATGGTCATTATCATGAGTACTGTTGTAAAAGATGTCTTTAGGTTTATATATGCAAGGTCAAGTCATTAAAGATGATAGTCAATGTCACTAAAGATGATAAAATATCATGACTACAAGTGTGACACATGTGAATTAGATTAATATTTTCAAGGTCAAGGTCACTAGAGATGATAAATATCCAGATATTTTCCGGAAATTGCCCAGAACATATCTCCTATATGCGTATAAATGTATCTTTTATGCCCACATCTCTGTCAAAAGCAATTTGTGACGGGCGTATTTTGCGACAATTCTGCCCTTGTTTACATTTATAATAATACACCAAAGGTCATATTCTAAACAACTCTTCCGTGATTTCTCATTGACAATTTATCCCGGACATTGAGTTAAATGGTAATTTTTCTCGCCGTTTTTGTCGTCGGTCTCTTGCAGAAAAATTAGTAAGGTCAGGAAAACCGGTAAAGTTAAGCCGCCAAGCTACTGACCATAAACTGTGTTAAAATCACCATGAAATAAAGAAAAAAAGTCAAATTACAAGCTAGTAATTGCGACTTCTATTATTCCCGGTGATCTCCTTTTTTTCTAAATTTGAAAGTTCTTTTTCGGCAAGTTTGGTAATGTTCATATTGACGGTGTACACGTATTGTATTTTGTAACAAACGCTAGTATACAAAAAGAGATGAAAACACCCAAAAAGGAACAATGTAAGATAACTATAGCGCAGTAAAGTCATACAAAGATTTGGTAGAAAAGTTGGAGTGACGAAAGTGACTGTTTAGATATTTGAATAATATGTTTCCGTCAGATTTAATATCTCATTTTGTAGTACCGAGGCAATAACCAAGCAGTCGTATTTAACATGGCAAATGTTGTCCTGTGAAAGTTAAAGTTATAATTTTTTTTTGCTTAAGGTCAAACATAAGGATGGAACAGAAATATGAGGTTTTAGAATAATTCGGGTTTTACAAATATTAACCACGGTACATATCCTTCAGTGTACAGTTCGTCACATGTGGTAAGAGAATAAACAGATATCGTACTTCGTCGTATTATTTCATATTTTCCCCCATCTTCATAGTTTTGAAACAGAATAGATAAATATATCTTATACATACAATCACATTTATTATAGTAAAAGGAGAGTTGCTCGTTTGGGTTTATTGCGCATGTGTTCAAGAGAAGAGATTCCAGCATGGCGTCAAATTTGGGATTTGAAAGGTTATGCATGTCCTGTAAAATGTTAACGAAAGAATTGAGTTGATCAAAAAAGTGTGATCCTGGCCTCGTGTTCACAAAGAAAAGATCAGGATCAAGTGATCCTGATTTTATTTTCATTGTTTAATAAAACTAAAATTGATTGTATTATGCTAGAATAAATAATTGCTTATTTGCAAAGAAACAAATCTATTTTGGGATAAAATTAACTAATAACTAAACAAATACAAAAATAATCAGATCAAAATGAGGATCAATTTTAGGATCAAGATCTAAATTTGGATCAACTATAAAATGCCCATTTCTTGTAAAAATAACAATAAATTTAATCTAAGCTTTCATAAACATGCTATTTTAGTCCAGTTCTATCAGTTTAATATTAATTATTTAATCTATGAGGATAATTGATGGAGAATATTTGAGTTTTTAAATTTGATCTTGATCCTGATCCTTAAATCTTTGTGAACACGGGACCTAAGCATTACGTGTGCGTAATTCATAAGCTTAAGCCTAAATTGTAGCTACATATCTGCTAGCCCAACTGTGTAGATTTTGATGTGCTAATGAAGAGGCTTGTGATTAACTTAAGTCCATTTCCTCTTGTTTTTTTTTTTTTTTTTTTTTTTTTTTTTTTCTTAATTAAAAAACTGCAAACATTACTTTTTTTGATATCCGATACCTTTAAATTCCTGTAGTAAATAAAAATCTCTTGCCTATTTTAATGTCCTTGATCTCCCAAACAGGACAGTTCTTAATGTCTTTTTATTGTTGTTGACCCAAAACGAGGACATTTCTAAAATTATATACTTTCAATAGATTGAAATTAGAACAGATTAAGCACGGATTAAAAGATTAGCGGTAAATGATAAAGCTTAATTTTTAAGATCATAAAACAAATCTTGCATTCAGTTAAAGTTTGGAATATATGCAGGCTTTATAAAGTTACTGTACATAGATTTTTTTTATATAATCATACCTTATTTAATGTAAAAATATGCTTATCAAAATGGAGGTATTTATCCGAAATAACTATCATATACGAACATAGTGTTAACAAAATTGCGAGCATCATCGGGGGACTATTCTAATATCAGCCATGTCAGTATCTGATGTAAACGTAAGCTGGTCGACGCGATCCAGTATTGTGCGAAGCGACAAAAGTACGGAGCGCTCCGTGTTCCTTACCAGTTGCTCTAAACACGGAGCAGATGATTCCAAAAAGCCAGTAAGTAATTATGGTATATAGTGATGACAGAGAAATCTTTGTTTAGAGTTTACTGACAAGTCTTTTCAGACATTGTTTTCTCTAACGCAGAACATATGAGCCGCGTCACGACAAAACCAACATAGTGCGCATTGCGACCAGCATGGATCCAGACCAGCCTGCTCATCCGCGCAGTCTGATCAGGGCTTACAAACCCTATTACAAGTAGAGAAACTGATAGCGAACAGCATGGATCCTGATCAGACTGCGTGGATGCGCAGGCTGGTCTGGATCCATGCTGGTCGCAAACCCATTATGTTGGTTTTGTCATGACGCGGCTCAAATATGATATGTTATTTCAAATTATAATAGAATTATATGAATAGCTTAAGATAACTTGTCATGCTAATTGAAGTTTTTATTTGCTGTAATTAAACCCTGAGTGTGAGAGTCCCGAGTTGTTTAATACTTAGCGCATTACATACATATATATATATATATATATATGTATAATATATATATATATATATATATATATATATATATATATATATATATATATATATATATATATATATATATATATATATATATATATATCTCATGAATAAAAATATATATTTCGTTGATATCTTTTTCTGGCATAGGATTATTGTGATTATGTACTTTAAATAATAAAAAACAAATAAAGGAAACATGAATACTTGTCAGTTGTACAAATTGTACAAAACTGGCATGGCTCCTAACAAAGCACGCATACAAACGCACATGTTGAAATATTCTTATTTCCTTACATTTGAAATATTCGAATTTCCTTTCTTTTGAAATATTGGAATTTCCTTTCTTTTGAAATATTCGAATTCCCTTTCTTTTGAAATATTCGAATTTAAAATTATACATTGTCTTGAGGGGTTTGTTTGAGTAAGTAAATCACTTTCATGATGTGTTGGTGCTTTTACCAACCAGATCATATCGATCGGTCTTGAAACTATAGTTTGTAAAACTGGTATAAAATGGTATAAAATTATACCTCGAGATTACTACTAGATCGGAAGGATCGAGATTAAATTTACTGTAGATCTACATTGTACTTTTATTCACCGATTTTTAGCTCGACTATTCGATAAGAATAAGTAGAGCTATTGCAGTCACCCGAGCGTCGGCGTCGGCGTCGGCGTAACCACTTATGTAAAAGTTTTTGTAATAGTTAAAATATTTTCAAAGTCCATTGACATATGGCTTTGAAACTTTGCACACTTGTTCACCATCATGACCCCAATCTGTAGACAGGAGGAGGTAACTCTATCAAGCATTTTGACAGAATTATGCCCCTTTTTCGACTTAGAATTTACGTTAAAGTTTTTGTAATAGTTAAAATATTTTCAAAGTCCATTGACATATGGCTTTGAAACTTTGCACACTTGTTCACCATCATGACCCCAACCTGTAGACAGGAGGAGGTAACTCTATCAAGCATTTTGACAGAATTATGCCCCTTTTTCGACTTAGAATTTACATTAAAGTTTTTGTAATAGTTCAAATATTTTCCAAGTCCATTGACATATGGCTTTGAAACTTTGCACACTTGTTTACCATCATGACCCCAATCTGTAGACAGGAGGAGGTAACTTATCAAGCATTTTGACAGAATTATGCCCCTTTTTCGACTTAGAATTTACGTTAAAGTTTTTGTAATAGTTAAAATATTTTCAAAGTCCATTGACATATGGCTTTGAAACTTTGCACACTTGTTCACCATCATGACCCCAACCTGTACACAGGAGGAGATAACTCTATCAAGCATTTTGACAGAATTATGCCCCTTTTCGACTTAGAATTTACGTTAAAGTTTTTGTAATAGTTAAAATATTTTCAAAGTCCATTGTCATATGGCTTTGAAACTTTGCACACTTGTTCACCATCATGATCCCAACCTGTAGACAGGAGGAGGTAACTCTATCAAGCATTTTGACAGAATTATGCCCCTTTTTCGACTTAGAATTTACGTTAAAGTTTTTGTAATAGTTAAAATATTTTCAAAGTCCATTGACATATGGCTTTGAAACTTTGCACACTTGTTCACCATCATTACCCCAACCTGTAAACAGGAGGAGGTAACTGTATCAAGCATTTTTTTACTATCAGGCACTTAGAATAGTCGAGCGTTGCTGTCCTACCGACAGCTCTTGTTTAAATAATTGCCATGAAGATTATTATTATTATTATTATTATTATTATTATATTATTATTATTATTATTATTATTATTATTATTATTATTATTATTATAACTGTCGAAGTTATATGACTATAGTTTTCCAGAGTTACGTGTTGTAAGGTATCAGCTGTTATATCTTTATATTATAAACAAGCTGTATGTTTCAGAAATGTGTGTCAGCGAAACATTCAGGGATGCGATTTCAAGGATGGCGGGAACCGAAGCCACTCAGGTCTAGATGCAGCTCCGCGGTAAATACCGAAGACTTAGATAAAAATAACGCGGAGCGGCTAAAATCAGCTAAAAAGTCAGTGCGGGACTCTGTAGACGAGCAAAAAGAGACACTGACAAGATTGTCACAACCAACCACGGCGAGCAGATGGAAAAGTGCCAGAACTAGGGAAGTCGGAACAGACATGAACTATTATTCTTGGGCAAAAATGAATGTTTATAAAGATTATCAAAAGGTTATGTACGGAGCAAACGGGACTGCAAAAAAGCCAAACAGAATAAAAGAAAGATGAAAATGAATTTTCATCCCTATATTAAACTGCTTGTATTTAAAGGACCTTTATGTTACAGAAATGCTTTCAGTTTTAGTTCTCAAAATATTTTATTTTTAGTGATCTGATATAATTTTCCAAGAAGTTACTCATTGGCCAATTACCTGAAACATATTTTGCCTCTTTCGCTTAGATATGGTATTTATTACAGTTAAAGTTATTTAGTATTTTATATGTAAGTCAAAAGACCACTTTGTTAACATTTTGTTCCTTTTATGTGATAAACCTATAACATAATCATTATCTTAAATGTTAGAAATCTCATGGTTGCCCTTTCTAAAAAATCGTTTCTAAGTAATAAATTGACAAACATGTTATGGACAATATACAATGAAATGGTCATAGTAATTACATCAGGTAATAGATATTGGCTGGAGTCAAATAGAAGGTCCCGAAATTAGTTTGTTCAGTCATTTTTATAAATACTTAGGTCTGTAAATACATTAAAGACATATTGCATGGTTTCCTACAGATTCTTCTTTTCTCTCACATTTTTTAAATTTTCATTTCATTTTACATAACTTTGTATTTTAAATGTTAGTAGAATTTTTAAATGGAAGTCAGTATGTTTTTTTTTAACAAGCTTAAAGCTGCATGCCTCCAGATGAGCCGAACTATTTCAAGAAAATTAAACTTGAGAATAGCGTAAAAAGTTTTTTAAAAAGAATGTTAAAAGATTCAAGATTCAATTGATAATGTACATGTTAAGTGCGATAAATGAATTCTTATACTGTATTTCTAACTGTATTTGAGCCGCGTCATGACAAAACCAACATAATGGGTTTGTGACCAGCATGGATCCAGACCAGCTTGCGCGTCCGCGCAGTCTGATCAGGATCCATGCTGTTCACTATCAGTTTTTCTACTTGTTATAGAGTTTGTAAGCGAACAGCATGGATCCTGATCAGACTGCGCGGATGAGCAGGCTGGTCTGGATCCATGCTGGTCGCAAACCCATTATGTTGGTTTTGTCATGACGCGGCAAATTCAATTGCGCAATAAGATGTATTTGTTTTGCATATTGTGGCCTAGTTATTTTCCATAATTTATGTGGATTGTAAGCACCGTTGCAATTTGTAAATTCCTTTCTTTGTTCACTTCACAATATAATGTATTTTACCATTAAATACATTTTTCACGAATCTGGAGGCATTCTGCTTTAAAACTGACATTGTTGGCGTTGGCTTAGCATTATGACGCTGAAAACGTCAACGTGGCGACTTTCGCGTTTTTGATTGGGAGAACGTCTCGTGTGCCCCTCTGTGCATTATTTTAGTCATACATGGGTACCTTAGTAGATCCAAATTCGTTCTGTGCTTATCTGACTCAATACTGCCCCGTTAAACATAATTATAATTATATTTATGTAATCAGGTAAAGCACTTCATTATAATGCTGATTATTTTTCTGCTTGTATTATGTTTTGTTTTTCAGTAAGAATATAATGATTCTCTAATAACAAACAATGTGTATCCAAACATGCCTGAATGATAGTAATATACTAAAGAAGGAATGGAACAAATTTTAAAGAAATTGTATAATTATTTAACATACGATGAGTGTTGCTAAAGGCCCATTATGCCTAAGAAATGATATTATTTTTATTTTTAAAAAACTTTTTATTCTTGGTATATTGTTACAGTTTCAAAAGAAAAAATACACATCTGCCCAGTATATGAACTATCTTTTGCTTTCTTTGCTCGGTTTGTAATTGGTATGATTATAATGAATAAGTATTTTGTATTGAAGTCAAATATTACTTTGTTTACATTTTGCTACCTTTATGACATTTTACTTAACATTCAGCGCTACGTTCTTCAATTGTAAAACCGCTTTAAGGCTCAAAATATATTATTTAAACATTATTAAACATTTGTTTAACATTTCAAAACAAGTAAAAAAAAATATGGATTCCTGAGGCTTAATATGCCTTTAAGGTAGATAAAACAGTTGACATGATCTTCAGAAGTTCAAAACTGATAATAGCTATGGTCGTATAAAAATTTGTTGCGAAATTAAGTTTGTAAAGCTATTTGCTTATCTTTGTGTTATTTTGTCCTCTAATCGAAACGTTTATCTACTTGTTGCTGTTAAAACAATTATTTTTATTTGATTTTTTTCCTCCCTAAACGGTTTATGTTAAATGTATCGCAAAAAAATACGTTATTTTTTATTGTTTTGAATAATGAATTATAGGTATTAGCCCTTCTTATGGCACCGGATGTTGCAAAAGTTCCAAACGATAGAGGACCCTTAAACTTATTGGGGAATTGGCAGAATTTCCTTATCAGCACATTTTGATTATCGCAAATTCGTATGAATTTTGAAAACCCATCACTCTCTACTTATTTAGGTAATGTTTTTAACTGATACAACAAATGTATGTATAAAAGAAAATCTAAATAAATTGTAATCAGATTTGGGTTTATGGAAATGTATGGAACAATTTTGTTGTTTCTATCATACAATAAAAGGATATCATAAAGAATAATTTACGGCAAAATAATTGAAATAATAGAGCTCTTAGTTCAAATAGTTTCTCAATACAATTAATATAAAAGAATTAAACTGTGGCAAAAAGGTTATTGCTAAACGAATGTATTGTAATAATTATGTTATATACGCTACGGTAACTTTGCTATGAACATGTATGTTGTTTTTATTCGTTGTTGTTGTTGTTTTTTGCCAATAAATATATTTCATCTTTGACTCCAATTGAAATAAACTACTTGCGTTAACTTAACCAAAACCGTCAAAGGATGGGTGACCTCGATTGGTGCGATTAGAATTATGGCCTCCACCTAATACAAAGAAGATATATTTTTCTCACTGAAATGTATAGTCGATTAAAAAAAGTTGTTAATTTTTCTCAAAAGTGGACATAAGAAATAAAATATGTTCCCCAAAAGTTAAAAAAAAAGAACAAAACAAATGACAATGGAAAAGGAAATGAAAACAGAGACAAAATTTGCTTGTTGAAAAGAAAATAATTTATAAATTTCATGTCGTGCCACATGTATAGAGGATATTGAATGGGTGTAAGTTCAATACTGAATTTATTGAACGAGTGGAATAAAATTATATAATGCAAGACTCAGGTATATTGATATTAAATTAAACAAAACTTCTCATTACATAATCAATGCACACTCAACTGATTTTCATGCCTGATAATAAAAAATAAACGTGGTCATTTCTATTCATATCATAAAATATGATTTTTCCATCTTTGTTTAGTGTTTCGCTATCTATTTTGAACAAATTGGTTTATATATCATAAAAACAATTTGTGTACACATCCTAATTAAGATGTCTCTACAGATAAATGATAACAATTTCAATAAAATTAAATAATGAATTTTGCCAAAGGCACATTCAGTTCGCTACAGTTGGAAGTTAGTAGTCCTACAATAAGCGGTGTGCGTAATATTTCTCGGTTATAATTTTGGCAGTAACCGGTGCACATTATATTTCACAGAAGTATTTTTCTTAAAGGAGACCAGTTCCATGACAGATATGAGGTAGGTGATTTCAGACATTATATTTAAACAATTTCAATCTGTTTGGTTTTTATGAAACGACAAGTCTTCAGATATTTAAATTAATTTTTGTATAATTGTTAATATTAGATAAATGACATAACAAAGAGTCAGAATAGTTTTAAAAAGATATATAATACGCGAAAGGAACGACATTATAATACGTAGTGTTTGGCAAATGATAATTGGATGTATTGTATATATTTTTACAGTATTATTTTCTATGATATCTATATTTTCACCTAATTTAAACAACACACTATCATGATACAATATGATTATTGTATGAGTATCTTGAAATGGAATTTTTATTTTGCTTGATTGGATTTTTGTATGCTAGGATCATGTGAGAAACTGTGGCGGTCAGTGTGGTCCGTTCTGGTAGAGTCTATTAAAGTCAAATTCATTTATAGATCACGCTAACATGACTGTGACCCTTAAAGAATATACGTCATTTTCGCTATAGGCCCAGTACATTAAAGTGGTATCGGCTATATCCAAATCAGTTTGTCGTGTATGTTCGTCCATCTACATTTTTTGACGGCTTAATCAGCTCTGATACGAACCCATAGCTTTTTTGTTCTTCAAACATGGTTCAAATGCTGTGTAAATCGCTTTGCTGCGTGACCCTTTGAGGTCAAATGTCACATAATATTGTTCCTGCACTATAAATTCCATACTTATCGAAAGACTTTCTCCAATCTTAGCTGAAATGTACTCCTTCAAAACTTAAACTAAATCGACATATATATCAAATTGTCTCATAAAGTTGGTGGAGTGTTTGACAACTGTTAATTTGACTAAAACATAATTCCATCACATATGAATATATTAAGAATTTGATTTCATTAGGGTCTTTATGTTTACGCAAGGAATATGTTCAGGTATATAATTCAGAATTTTATAACAGTATACAACAGTATAATTACAAAAAAATAACCATTTTATATAGATCATAATCAAGACTGTTTCCGTTAAAGGAACCCAGCCTAAAATATGAAATTACCTGTACTAACTATTACTTGAAATAGAAATATATGCAAACGATAATTAAGAAATATACTCAGATATGAATTTAAAATCGTATTTTGCGCTATTCTTAGACTGATTTTAGTGCGCTTTTCAATTTTAGGACGTTTCCCCCAATTAGAATAGGTTAAACAAGAGCTGTCACAGGAGACAGCGAAGCTCGACTAATAAAATACTGGACGCAGTAAGGAGGACAAAACTATGAAAGAAAAATCAATTATGTATAATTATGTATTAAGTTATAGTAAAAAAATAACATTTGTTAACATAAATTCCAAGATCAAGGGGAATAATTCTAGAAATAGTCATGCTAGAGTTATGGACATTGCCACACAACATTTGTGTAATGATAAGAAATATATATTTGAAGTTTGAAGTAGATACCTTAAAAAGTAAAGAAGTTATTATATTTCTTAAAGAAAATCCTAAGTTCAAAGAGAGATAAATCTGTAAATATTGCTTCAAGAGTTATGAACATTGTCACATAAAATGTAATTGATGATAAGGAATAAGTATTAGAAGTTAGAGGTAGATACCTTTAAAAACTAGAAATGTGTCATCATGCCACGGATGCCCCCGCATGCAGCCAAAATTTCAGATGGTCCATTAATTTTTTTTTTCATTTTAAGTTCAAAGCCCTTAAAACTTTTCAATGTTAACACAAACCATTTTCATACACTGTTCAAGGCACTGAAATTATTCAGTCTTAACCTTTTAAAAATAGCATATTGCATATTTGTAGCCAAAATAATTGCAAAAAGTATGAGTGCTGAAACTGAAAGTTCAAAATTTTTCCTACATTCAGGAAAGATAAGTTTGTCTAAAATCATTGAACCACAACCAAATTCAAACTTAAACTGCTTATTCCTAAGATGTATCTATATTATTTTCAAAGTGAAAGGGACATAACTCTGCCAAAAAATCATCAAACCATGACCAAATTCCAACTTGACCTGCCCATTCCTTTGACATATCTATATGTCAAATTTAAGTTGAATATGTAACACTGTTGGGTAGAAATGAACAGAAACTGTAAATTTCATATTATTTTCAAAGTGAAAGGGGCATTAGTCTGCCAAAAATCATTGAACCATGACCATATTCGAACTTGGCTTGGGCATTCCAAAAACATATCCATATGTCAAATTTGAGTTGAATGTGTTGTACCATTGGGGAGATAATAAACGGAAACTGAAAATTTCATATTACTTTCAAAGTGAAAGGGGCATAACTCTGCCAAAAATCATTGAACCATGACCAAATTTGAACTTGACCTGCGCATTCCTTTGACGCATCCGTATGTCAAGTTTGAGTTGAATGTGTTGTACCGTTGGGGAGATAATGAACGGAAACTGAAAATTTCATATTATTTTCAAAGTAAAAGGGGCATAACTCTGCCAAAAATCATCAAACCATGACCAAATTTGAACTTGACCTGTATTTTCTCATGACATATCCATATGTCAAGGTTGAGTTGAATGTGTTGTACCGTTGGGGAGAATTTGAAAGGAAGCTGAAAATTTCATATTATTTTCAAAGTAAAAGGGGCATAACTCTGCCAAAAATCATCGAATTATGACCAAATTCGAACTTGACCTGTATTTTCTCAAGACATATCCATATGTCAAGTTTGAGTTGAATGTGTTGTACCGTTTGGGAGATAATGAAGGGAAACTGAAAATTTCATATTATTTTCAAAGTAAAAGGGGCATAACTCTGCCAAAAATCATCGAACCATGACCAAATTCGAACTTGACCTGTATTTTCTCATGACATATCCATATGTCAAGTTTGAGTTGAATGTGTTGTACCGTTGGGGAGATAATGAACGGAAACTGATATTTCATATTATTTTCAAAGCAAAAGGGGCATAACTCTGCCAAAAATCATCGAACCATGACCAAATTCGAACTTGACCTGTATTTTCTCATGATATATCCATATGTCAAATTTGAGTTGAATGTGTGCAACCGTTCTTAAGATAATGAACGGAAACTGATGATGACGGAATGACAGAATGACGGAAGGACGGAAAGGACGGAAGGACGGAAGGATGGAAGGACGGAAGGACGGAATGACGGAACAGGATAACACTATATGCCCCGGCCATTACATGGCGGGGGCATAATAAAAAAAGTTATAATAAAAAATAACATTTTTCTAGTAAAAAAATCTAAGTTGATGGGGAGATAATTCTTGCAATATTGGTGCTAGAGTTATGAACCTTGTCACATAAGATGCGGATGATGATAACGTAAATATATTTGAAGTATGAAGTTGATCCCTTTAGAAATAAATAAGTATCAGTAAAAAATAATATTTTTTATGGAAAATTCTAAGTTCAAGGGGAGATAAATCTGAAAATATTGGTGCTAGAGTTATGAACCTTGTCACATAAGATGGGGATGATGATAAGGTACATATATTTGAAGTATGAGGTTGATCCCTTAAGAAATAAAGAAGTAACAGTAAAAAATAATATTTTTTAAGGAAAATTCTTAGTTCAAGGGGAGATAAATCTGAAAATATTGGTGCTAGAGTTATGAACCTTGTCACATAAGATGTGGTTGATGATAAGGAACATATATTTGAAGTTTGAAGTTGATACCTTAAGAAATGACAAAGTTATAGTGAAAAATATTTTACTGCACCAAAACTTTAATCTAAAATCTGGACGCGGACGCCGACGCCGACGCCGGGGCGAGTAGGACAGCTCTCCATATACTTCGTATAGTCGAGCTAAAAACGGAAAGGGGGCATTTAGTTTAGAACTACATTTAATTAAACATTAATCTCGAAAACAACATTTCCAGTCCCGTCATGTCAAAAAGCTTCAGTGGAGTCCCTTTATATAACGTCTTACGCTCAACTGGCATATTTACAACGTTCCATGTAATAAGTTTGATATTAATAGTGATAATTTTGCTTCCTAACGTTGGCAGATTTTTAAATATACGGGTAGTTATCAACAGCAGCTTAATATTTCCGGCTAAAAAGATTATCAATGTTTATTTTTTAAGGTCCAGGGCCTTATGGACCCGTGTACAGACTATGCGAACGTCGACAATGGTGGCTGTAGGTATTCTCGTCGTTCTAATGGTACTATTCTACATAAAGGATTCAAATTATAGGGAAAGAGGTAGGTACTTAAATGTATTATATGTTATATACTTCTTGATTGCATTTGGTATTTTACAGTATTTATCTTAGTATCGAAATATGTGTGTACTTGCCAAAACGTAAAGAAATATTCTAGATTTGTACTAGATATTTAATTACATAGTTTTTTCTTCTTACCAAAACAATGTTTGAATTGAATTGTAAAAAAGTATCAGTCATGTAAATTTGTCAAGAATTTGATCTAATTCTTCAGTTTCCCAGGAGACTCATGGTCGTATCAGAAAACTTGAGGCTGGTTCCTTAGTAAGTCAAAAAGGTGCGAAATCATTAGATAAGAAAACTAAGGTTAAAGTCGCCCAGAGTAATGATGTTGACGGTGATCAGGATACTTTCTCTGACAAAGCAGTCACGTCGACGACAACGCAGAACCCCGGTTCATACACAACTCTTGATTACGACTCTGATGACGGAAAGCGCGAAGAGCTAGATATATTGAAATACAAAAAGCTTACAAAGGATAAGAAAATTGCACAAGTAATATTTAATGAAGATGAAAATGTTGATGGTGATGATGATGACGATGCTACAACAACCTCGGCAACTCCGACAACAACCCAGGTAGCTACTACCACGGAGAAAACAATTGATGATGATGATGGTGCTGATGATGCTGACGACGACGATGGTGATATCAATGCAAATCCTAAGAAGGAAGATGAAATTAGTATTAAAAAGATTGATAATAGTAAAATTGGAAAAGAAAACTTCGAAGGAAAACAGGAGTCAAATACCGTTCCAGATAAAAATAAGGAAAGCATTAAACCAAAAGAGGATGTGCAAAACAAAAAAGTTCTAATAGATATCCTTGGAGCTGAAACTAAAAGGATGAAAGAAAAAAATGAACTAGTCATTAAACAGCTCCCAGTTGATTCCAAAACGGATAAACCTGAAAATCCATCAAAAAGTTTACCTTTGCTAAAAATAGAATTACCCGAAAAATCCGTTATGCTTCCCGACGATAGAACTGACAAGAATGGAGACAGTGGCAGTCAAACTGAACAACAAAGTTCAAATGAAAATCAAGAATCAGAAGGCCAAAAAGAAGTTCGGGACTTGAATCAAGCTAAAATTGAAAGCCCACTTCCACATCCAGAACAGGTCATTAAGAAAAAAACTGAATACGAAATGCACGAACCAGTAACACCAAAAGATGACAATGTTGACAATAACGATATGGCCGCCCAGATCAAAATGCTTGCCCTAAAGTATTCCATCACTTTAAATGAGACAGATCTTCCGCGGCAGAGTGAAAGCTATACAAAGAGACTGCGGAATAAACTGATTCAGACGGGGCGATTTGACTTGCTTGAGAGCAAGAACTGTAAGAAGAGGCTGCCTAAATGTATCATTATTGGTGTAATGAAAGCCGGCACAGAAGCATTCTCAACTTTCCTAGGAGTCCATCCACAGGTGAGATTTTATAATTTGTTCGGTCATAGATGTAATCATACATGTATAACTTTCAATGAGATTCTTTTGTGGACTTTCTATATATATGTATTCTTCGCTGACATTGCTTAGACACTCTTGTCGAGTGGTTTTTGCAAAGATTTTAATTCATATTCAAGGATAATGTACTAATCGCAGCGCAAATTGTATTATATGTTTCCCCAAACGTAGTTTCAAACATTTGAAATACACGTTACATATTTATATTTCTTGTTAATAATGATAGCTTTTTATTCGAGATTTTTTATAAAAAAAATGTTTTTGATTAATAACAGCCGTCGATAATTCATATTTTGTCTTATCACTCTCATTCAGGTAGCTATGCAATTTGGATATGCAGCAATGGTGTTTTTCAGCAGTTCCCAATACGATAATGGACTCGAATGGTACAGGGAACGAATGATGTGTAGTACGAAAGATCAGATTACGATGGAGAAATCACCGCAATATTTCTCGTCCGCACTTGCGCCAAAAAGAATCCATTCAATGGACCCTAATATGAAACTTATTCTTTTAGTTCGAGATCCAATATCCCGAGCTCTTTCACACTTTTTACAAGTAAGTGTACATTTAGAATACTGTTAAAGTCTTTTGAAAATGCGATATAGTTCAGCGCCTCTCATGTTATATGCAGATCACATTATTATCGTCATTATGAGCAGTCACACTAAAGCCTCAGTCTTACTTACTCCCGGCAGAGCCCAGGATCATCCCGGTAAGATACCGGGATGATCCGGGACGATCCGGGGTGAAATTATTGTTGCGGTCACACTTACCCAGGCAGCACTACGGTAGTTCTCAACTAACCACCCAGGATGCGCTCCGGATCATCCAGGCAGAGCCCAGGTGCAGCTACGGTTCATGCCGGTGCTTCCCCGGTCGTTCCCGGATGACGCCGGAAGAGCCCCGGTTGACCCAGGCAGAGCCCCGGTCGATCCAGGCAGAGCCCCGGCAGAGCCCAGGACGATCCCGGCAGAGCCCCGGTAGAACCCCGGTGAGGATTGAAAACGCCCGAAAATGATAACATTGATACATAAAATTTTATTTAATATAATATCTATTGTTCCAGAATAGTTATTCCATGATGATTTTCTGAAAAATCCTGATGCCATACTGGATAGAAGGGAAATGAGAGGGGTTTTTAATACCCAGCAAGTGCAGATCATTCGCAAATTGTCGTTATTCTTTTGAAATGATCCGGGCTTTGCCGGGGCTCTACCGGGACCAACCGTAGCTCTACCTTTATCATCGGGGCTCTGCCTGTAGTTGCCGGGGCTCTGCCGCATTTCCGGGGCTCTACCGTAGCTCTACGTAGCTCTACCGGCTATATCATACCCCGGATCATCCCCGGTTTGTGCCGGCAGAGCTACGGTGCTTCCCCGGTATAACCCCCGGTCGTTCCCGGCAGAGCTAAGGATGAAGCCGGCAAAGCTATACCCTTCCCGGATCATCCCGGACCACCCCGGTGATATTAAATATTTTATTCCATCCGGGATCGAATGCCGGATGTTCCCGGATCATCCCGGATAATCCAGGACGTTGCCGGCAGAGTTACGGATGTACTCCGGTTGTTCCCGGTCGTACCCCGGTCGTTCCCGGATCACCTCGGACGTCTACCTGGGCTCTGCCGGGGCTCTGCCGGGATGCAAGTGAGACTAAGAAGTATTATGATTAAAAGCTCATTATACGGAAAGTATCGAAGAATGACAATCTTATAGACAACCATTATTCTGAGATACTATTTATCTCGGTTTTAATTATGTTTAAATTACAATGAGTAAAATTACGTCTGGAACAAGTCGAATGGATATAATTTATTTTACCTAATAATACAATACTAAACCTTTAGTCTGCTGTCCACCCATGCGACCATTAGCTGGCACTGTCGTGTCGCCTGGTCATAGTATTCGGTCACTGCATATTCAGAAAATTTCCCTAAAATGGCGATTGATTTTGTCCAGATTGAAGGGTGGAAATACTTATTTATCAGACATAATAATTTTGTAAACGTTTATCTATGTTTTCTTTATTTGCAGCAAAAAAGTGCCAACCCAGATCGCCTTAAAGCACAAACATTTGAAGACTGTGTTTATGATAAGAAAACAAAAACAGTAATATCAAGCAGTCCTTATATTCAACAGTCAACATATAGTGTTATATTAAAACGTTGGCTACATTATTTCTCCTTCAAACAAATTCTTATCGTGGACGGTGACACGTTCAAGAAGAACCCCATTCGCAGTTTACACAAAGCAGAAACTTTCTTAGATATTGACCACTCTATAAGTAAAGACAGACTCTATTTCAATAAAGAGAAAGGATTTTATTGTTTAAAGATAAATTCAACAGCGAAAGAGGATTTAGAAATGTCCTGCTTCGGCAGTGAAAAAGGACGGATTCACCCTTCCATAAATCCGGAAGTAGAGAAGGCCTTGCAAAGATACTTCCGGCCGTATAATGAAGAATTTATGAAAATGACGAGCATGAAAATGAAATGGAAGTAACATTTACATAGATTTATAGAAATGTTGTTTGTTAGATGAGCTGGATTTATGTGAATAAACAATCATTTTACAAGAAAACATATTATGTAAACAATGTAACATGGATATTATTGAAGATGAATTTCATTTTATAATACTAGACTAAAGTATGGTAGCTATCGTTAACAGTTTAAAACTACATGTATATTTTAACCGTTGCCCTACTATTTAGAAAAGAGAAAAATTAAAGCCATTATGAAAAAAAGAAAAGAAGAAAAGGAACTACATGATTTGTCGAAATATATTTTCTGGTATGTTTTATTTCAAAAGACATTTTGTGTTTTATACTGCGGCATTAAAATACATTTTGTTAACAACACCTTTGGAAATATTTTGTATAAAATAAGGGCCTCCACTGAGGTTAAAAAGCCAAACATAGCATTTGAATTTCTTACATTAATGAGCTGGGGTACTTTAACAGCAATATATGCAAAGATAGTTAAGAATTATACTTTTTGAAATTAATTTTTAAGTTTTTTTAGCACGATTTGAGTGAAAAGCGTTTAAACACTTTTCATTTTTTGCCATTTTTTTACAATTTGAATTATTATTCTGGAAAAAAGAAGTGCGCGAATGATCTGAAAATTTTCACGAAGATTAGTGTTCTAAACCTACATCATATGGTACATTTATCTGGAAAAAATATTTTCAGTCCCATCATTTCAAAAAACCTCAGTGGAGTCCCTTTAACACGAACAATACAATTGATTACAGAAATAATTTACATTTTACTTACATAATAATGTAATATACTAAGTATTACTTGCTGTACACGGGAAATATACTCGTATACACGTTTATCGAGTTATACATGAACACTTCAATTTCTAGATTTCCTTTGCTTAGATAGAAATAAATTCATTAAAACGTTACTATGTCCTAGAAATGTACAGTATTTTAGTACTTTTGAATTGTGTCTTGTTTTCAATTTATTTTAGTTTGATTAAATGCAACAAATAATTACGAATAACCTTGAAATATCTCAGTTGAAGCATGACACAAACCAGGCTATTGGATTGTGATGTTTGGTGAATTAATTACTCATTATTTGTTTGGGTACCTTATTAATATCATGGATTTACATATATTCGTATGTGACGTTTTTATTTCATTACAAAATATTTATTACATAATTTATTGAAGCCAAATATCGATTTTAATAAAGATTTGAAATTACTCAGTCTTGTAATTCTATATAGCCTATAAAAACACTCTTTCAGCCATAACGCTTCCTTATACCCTGTTTGTGGAATTTTGCGTTTGTTGAAAATATTAAAAAAATGCCTCAAGGGGCAGGACGTGAAGTGGTTGACAAAATGGCTACTGAGTCTATTTTATTTTTGCGAATAAAAATAATCCCTTAATGTCGTCCCAGCCAGTTTTATATCTTCGTAACTAACTCATTTCACATACTATAACTATTACTTATCAGATTAGTGGATGCAATAAATATTACACCCAACATATTTGTTAACCATGTCAATGTTTTTGGTTTTATCTATTGCAATTCAAATTAAAGATCTATTAATTTAATTGTGCAAAATTACTATGGCTAAGACTCTTTAAAGTTGTGTCAGAATTTAATAATCCCAAATATTACATTGTATACACATGCATCTATATGATTTTTATGAAATGTTTGTTCAATGGTGACTGTACTTATGGGTTTATGATCACATCCGTGTTATTTGTGCCGTATGGCGGCTGTAAAAAGTCGCCCCGTACATTTAATCAGTGATGTTATATTTTCGATCCTTGAAGATCGTTCAGCACGACATTATTGTTGTGCTTGTGGTGTTTTTGGTTTCAACTTTTCGGCATTTTCTAGTCGGGTGGTTCCAATATTCCTACTTGAATAATGTTGAATCACCCTTAGGATATGTTGCCTGCTTTTTAAATTTGTCTTTTGACGTCTTATCTGTGATACGCAGGCTTCATAACCACTGATCCCCTTTCAAAATTCCATTTTATTTAGTTCCGCCCATTGTTTTCTCGTTTAGGGCACACGCTTTTTATTACTTGGGGACCATACGCCGCTTTTCATGGAATGGCACGGAAGTGTCACATTGAAGGTTCCATGATAACCGCCGTATGAACACATCTAAGGATGTTTCTAAATTCAAAATTTTACTATTTCACGTTTAAATGTTGAATTCTGCTTAAGCCGGTGCTAGGGGGCGTGGACGGTAACTTGCACTTTCCAGTACCGTCCATGAACAGGCTCAATCAAACCGAGCCTGCAACATTTTCAATTTTGCCGTGTTGGGCTCTCTGTAGGGATTCTTTATTTATCTATTTTTTGATTAACTTATATGCAAAATTTGAAATGGCAAGTATTAGTATTAAAGCGTCAACATATACATTTGTATTTACATTTTTCTTTTTATTACACACATTACTAAATTTAATTAATATAAGATATTATTCTTTCCTTTTTCATCCTTCTGCTCATTTTCTAAAATGGCTATAATTCTGATATAATACCTGACTAAAAACATAACAAAATAAATTCATTTTTACATATCAATGTAAATGCTAAAGTTATCATGGTTTGTATTCTTAAATAAACGGGCCTTAAACGTGGTTCCAAAAAAAAATAATAAAGCTTTCTTAAGTATAAACGATTGTAGGTATATATGACCCGCTTCTTTCTTCGCAATGGTTATATTGAAACCAACCTTTTATACCAGGCCACATATATAGTCTTTACAACAAAGTTCTTGTAAATAATAATAAATAATGACTAAATTTTGAAACCAAAAGATAAACAAAATGGCGGCATCATGTGACTAAAGTAGTTCCAGAATGTCGTTTATTATGTCAGAGGTCTAATGCCAAGCATTATATAGTCGAGGATATTAGACATCAATTGTAGAAATAGCCAAAAGGTTATACCCGTTGAAGATCTCAACGATAAGTATAGATACATTGTTATAACCACTTTCATTGTTCCAAATGAACATTTAGTTCAAACATATCGAAATAGAGAAGTTGAAAGAAATAAGAGCTATTCTAAAGAAAGTTTTTTTTTCCAAGCACCTGACCATAGTTAAGAACCAGTTTTCGAAATCATGTGGTTAACTCTGTTGACGTTAGGATAGAGTGAAATATGAATATGCTTTTGGACTATTTTGGACTTGGAAAATGAAAACGAGGCTAGAGGGAGTAAAATATGCATTTGATACTGAATTTTTGGACTCGATATATAAAATGAGACTAGATTTAAATTATTGGAACCAATAATGATTTGTAAAAGGGACATCATGTCAGACAAATGCTGGAATGTTTATGGTCTCATTTTTTTAATGTATGAAATAAATTTTTTAATGCTATAGGGCTATATCTTATAAAATATTTAGATAAAATTTGCAAACAGTACTTTGTTGTTTCTATATTTTTATGTTTGATTTCCGAATGAGTCCGAATGTAGTATGTCTTTGTTTTTTTAACATATATAAATATCGTGCGTAAACAAAAAGTTATACTGCTATTTTGAGTCAGGTTTTAAGTTTTAACAATTTGCCAATGATTTTATGCATGCTCCATTCACACTGAAGGAAATATGATCATATAAACTTATACAACAGGAATTTTGGAAGTATTCCTTTTCAAAATTTGAGCAACATTTTTATTAATTACAGGGAACAGATATACAGTTTTGTACATTTTATATACATTTGTACATGTACCCGATATGGCAGTTAATGATGTCACATAAAAAACAAGTCACACGTACCTTTACTTAATTTCCAGTTATTTTGAAAGGATGATAATAATATTTCTTAAACAGTCCGGCAATGATAATAAGTCAGTTTCATCATTTTGTACTCAATTGTTATTGTTTTACCTTTAGCTGTTTGTCAACTTTGGTTGTATATAAATGACTTATAACAATATAAAACAGAACATCGAGTATTTGAAAGAGCCCATCAAAACATATAAAATTCATTTTCTAAATACTTAAGTACATAACATAAAGATGATCGGCTAGAACAACTTTAATCAGATATGCGATTTTAAAGTTTAAAAAGAAAAACAAAATATTTTTGATTTTTGGACACCGGTAAGGTCACTTTACCAGTGGATACACAATAACAGCAATTTTATCTTTCCCGTTAACACATATATTTCATCGAATTCCATAAGATTCATAATTTAGATAAAATCAAAGGGCTGCATGCTCTGTGGTATTTTCTGATCTTTCCTGTATAAGTTTATTTTATATACATGTACTATTATTCATCTTACGCAGCGACTGCGTTTAACAGTTTGTGATTGATACATTTGAAATTTTGCATGCTTAGAGTTGCATCAAAAATCATTTTTCATTTTTTATTACAGCCACACTTTATCCTTGCATATCGTGGCAACTTCCTTTAAAAAGACACTTCAAAAAAAATGTTGCCTCGACAAGAATTTTAACCTCAGGCCTCTCACACCCTAAACGAACCCTACCTCTGCACCACAGTGAAGTAATACGTACGTAGCGTGAATAAAAACAAATATATTGTAATTCTAAAATTGAGAATTTTCATTTCGTATTTGTAATCCTTATTTATTTCGAGGTACTTTGTTCACGATAAACCTGTTGTTAAACACTGATGAAAATAATTTAGCGAAAATCTTCTCGCCAAAACAGTCCGACATGTATATATTCCATTACTCGACAGTAAGATTTATTTGGAGTATTCGGTAATCGACATAGCTAAAAATAGCATTTTCATTGATTAAGCTTTATTGGGTAAAAAAGATATTCATCCGCGAAATTTGTGATTGAAACTTCATATTTCTATTGACTAATGTAAACTTTTAATGCACTGTAATTCGTTCAATGCCTACATTAAAAATTATTATTTCTTTAAATTGCTGGTTTTAAGCAGTTTTGAGTGAGAACTACTTTGCGTTGTTAGGTCTGTGAGGAAATTTTGTGTTTGACCGTGGATGTTAGCTATGTATTTACTGATCTTGCGATCAGAAAATACAAAAAGCGTATATTTTTAATGTATTGAAGCCAAATGCAAACACATATCAGTTAATTAATATTTTATACGCATGGTCATTAAAACAAATCACTAAAATAAAATATACACTTGTATATGGTTATTCTTTACTTTTTAGGAAAAACATAGCCGATGTGACAGTGGTGGTGTTGGTAGTTTTCACTCCGGATCACGGCAGTGCAAGGGCACAGTTTAGCCACCGCACCGTTCCCGGACAGGCTGTCAAGCAGTTTACCAGTACTAGTTGCATTCACTGTTGCAAGAAACTGAAACTTCTGTATATACCAGAGCAGAGGTACAGCGCGAATAACTGTAGAAAGGATTTCATGAGCAATCACAAAAACAATTGTCCTCCACCGTCCGTGAATCGAACCAAGGTCGCCCAGTTCACAGCTCTACTAGTGAGACTAAAACGTGGTGTAATTATCCATGACCGGTACTGTTATAAAATATTTCAACTGTCACATTTTTTATGTTTCTCTTAAGATTGGCACTGTATTTACTAGCAACTGTGTGTATTATTTTCATTGGTTCTTTTGTCGTATAACGTGTATTTATTTTCCTATAATGATGCACTAACGCCATTTCCGGTTTTACAGTGTATTCACTTCCGGTGTGTAGTTCCCAGGTGAAATGAATTCCCATCACAGTAAGTTCACTTGTTTTTGCGATATATTTTGACCTTTTGTGTGTTGGTAGAATAATATTATCGCGTAAATTGAACGTGTCTATTGTTATTCCATTTTTACAGCTTCCGTGTTTGGTACATGCTTGATTTTTCCTAAAGAAAGAACTTCGAACTATATAGGCGCTGTTTGCCGGAAGTTCAGATATCATGTCCGACAAAGTGCGATGGTTTAGTTTTTGAGGAATAATAAATTCATCTAAGTCCGTTGAGGATATAAAAACACTTCTGCCCTTGTACCTATACAAGCAGTCATTTAGGGCTGCAAGTTGTCCGTAGTAATGAACTTCACTTCCGTGATAGGCCATATATTTTGGAATGTTCCATGGCAACAAACTTAACAGACCATTGCGTTCGTAATACTCTAAAACTTGTAATACTTTTTGCGAAATATGGTGAATATAGAATATGAATTTTTCTATCCCAAGAAGACGATTAAGCTCAATCCATTCTATAAGTTGTGTTGAATCACTAAACATAGAGTGCAAAGGTGACACACATGCGATAAATTTATGCTGATGGGTATGTTGAGTGATTTTCACGACTTTTATAGCGTGAGGAAGATGTCGTGCAGAATTCCTGTCGTAGAAGGAGACTGTATCCGGAGCCACTTTCCCAGTCATATTACATATGATAAACATTGCCGTGTACCTAATAAGACAAAATATTCATATTTAGACATACATGTAGGAATAAGAAATAATCACTCCATTCTTTTAATACAAAATATTTTGTACCACGTGTCACAAGAAATTTAACACAAGCACTGATATCTGAATGAATATTTAAATGAGCCGCGCCACGACAAAACCAACATAATGGGTTTGCGACCAGCGGTCCGCGCAGTTTGCGCCTCCGCGCAGTCTGATCAGGATCCATGCTGTTCGCTATCAGTTTCTCTACTTTTAATAGAGTTGGTAAGTGAACAGCAAGGATCCAGATCAGACTGCGCGGATGCGCAGGCTGGTCTGGATCCCTGCTGGTCGCAAACCCATTATGTTGGTTTTGTCATGACGCGGCTCAAATAAAGAATTACTATTTGAATATCATATAAATGTTATTTATATAACTATCTAAACATATCATAAATTATATTACTTCATAAATATCTTACAATTTCTAAAATCCACATGTTACCATTAAGCCAACAAAAAAGACCTTTAGAGGAGGACCCTAGATAATGTTGTTATACTTGTTGGTCAACCCTTTTGTATGTACAAATGCACATTATATTTATGCTTAAGATAATGATTATAAAATGTGTAAATTTATCATGTACAAAATATACAATATCATCCCATTCTTCCCCAAGTTTTGTTTCGTTTTGCAACAATACTTACTTTTTTCATTATTATTAAGATTATTATTATTCTTATATTTTGTAACAGAGAAACATATTTTTTAAACGATCTTCTTTTCAAAGATTTTTACATTTTTACAAACTACAAGATAAGACGTAACTAGGGTCTATGTTGATCTACAGATAAATTTATACATGTATATTTATTTATCTTTTGACAAGTTTATCAGGTTGAATTTTCTGAAATATGCTAAGACAAGGCAATCATACATTTTTGCTACAAATGTCTAATTAATGTAGGCAGTTATCATATGTTATTGTATTAAGTTTTACATCTGTGCATCGTATTTAAATACAAAAATGATACATGTGTATCTTAATATTACTTCTGATGAATTATGAAAGATAGTAATGTATTATGTTCAAAACTGCTGATTTTTTCTTTGTATCTTTATATTAAAACAATTTTATGTTGCTATGATGCTTATCTTTAAATAAGTTTGTCGTCACGGGTCTTAGACTCTCTGGATTTTACATGAATAAGATCTATATCTATCAAATAGAAAGCAATAGAATCCATTACAAATGTCTTAAAAGTCAAAATAAAAATGTATTGCAGGCTTTGTATAATTGAGCCTGTTAACGGACGGTACTTCAAAGTGCAAGCTACGGTCCACGCCCCCGAGCACTGGCTAATTTAACATGAGATGGTAAAATATTTTAATTTTGATACATCAGCAGATGTTTTCATACAGTTGTTATCATGGAACCTTCAATGTACTACTTTAATGCCATTCTAACTCACCATGGCAATGGTGTTGAATGTGCAAGGCTCTATTATTATGATATTCTTTTCATTTCATAGTTAACATTTCATATTTTGGAATCTTACTTAATTCGGGGTTAAGATTTACACATAGATTTGACGTCATATGGAGATGGGCTCGGCTTATAAATAATTGTTATAAATATGTATTTACCTTGCATGGTGGCCCTCCGGTATGTGCCTGATATAGCCGTTTGTGAACTCTGTTGTTTTTGGTCTCAGTTTGTAATGCAGGATACACCTTACATATGAGTTGTTCCTCAATTTTGTTAAACCAATCACCCTCAAATTATAAGGTCTAAAAGAAGAAGAAAGCAACAACAACAACAAAAAAAAAGCAAACAAAAACAGATAAAATACAATTTGTTTAGTAAAACTGCAATGTCAACATTTTCAATGTAATTCCACCGTTTAGATACCCACTCTACAAGATGTGCTTTTACTAATATACTGTTTTAAGGTATGATCACCCTGAACTGAATTATTGAAAACAGAGATCAGTTATACAGCATAAAACATATGCAAGCACAATTTAACAAAACTTATGAGCGGTTCACAAATTGTGAACAAGTTTGAATAGCAGAAGGGCTCTTTGGAACTCTAAATTATCTATAATGTCATCCTTATGAAATGCATTTTTCTATTGATAATAATTAAGAAATAAATGATAACATTCATGTTACAAGCGACAAAAGCATTTTTTTTTCTCATAATGTTTGAAAATATATGTATGTATAAAATGTTAGCCTACCCAACAAATTTTAAACACTTCTTTTATCATTTTACTGCTTAGAAAGCCTAATTCAATATATCCCTAAAATTAACGCAATTGGGGGGTTGTTTTTGTCTGAAGTACGAGGGTTGTTCAAAAAGTAATTGGACTGGGAGTCTTGCGTATTCAAATTTCATTCAATTTAGAATATTTTCATATGTACAGCAATAGTAAAATGTTTTCTACAAATCAAACATAAGTTTTTTAATCTATTGTGCTAAACGCGCTTTTCCTTTGCTATTGAATAACCATGGTAACACGCACCCGGCGCAGCACATAAATATAGTTATTGGAGCTAAGGTCTACTTCTAATTTATTCATAAATAACTATTTGTTTTCCCCTGTATTCCATCAATACGTTGCAATATATTAATGTGACATTATGTCCAAATTTGACGTCATTCGAACATGAAATGGCCTATTAATTAAGTTTTGAACAGCAGCGGTCATAGCGTTAGATGTAGAAATATGACATTTGTTAACAAACAGAAAATGTGTGCCATCGTTAAATTTTGCCAACAGATTGACTATAATCATTCAGATACACACAAAATGATTAAATAAACAAAGGACAATTATCCTGCCACCAGGACACTTGTTTTCAGCTGGCAAAAGCAATTCAAAAACTGCAAATACAAGATCACGAACGAGAAAGGGCGAGGATGAAAGTTGAAAATTGACGGGACGTTAGTGACGTCAATTGCAAAAGCGCTACAAAAGAATCCACGGTAAACGGTACGCGAACTGTTTATCGTTGTTTGTATCTGCTTCGGGTCTACTTATTCAGTTTTAACCAAAGGATTGTAAATAAGACATTTGTTATAAACACTATTTTATTGTATTTAACTAGATATACGCGTAATCAATGAATTAATGTAATAGTTAACGGTAATAATTAGTAGTGTTTTCGAAAACTTGTTTTTATAAACGATAGACTGTGCTAAGTAGAAAAGGATACTTTTCAATTGAGAAATATCTTTATTGTTCTGTATATAATCATATTGTTTTAAAAACATACAATGAGTAAATTAATAAAATAAATTGCTTTTGCTTTAAACATTTTCAGTCCTATTGAGTTCCAAGGTTACTAAAAAAACACGAGAAAACCCGGAGAATGGCCGGCTATCGGGCATTTATTTATTTATTTATTTTTTGAAACAGTGGATCGAGAATGTGATCGCTTTTTTCTTGCTTCATCTCCACATATGAGGCAAAGTAAAAGATACGTGACTCATACACCTAGAGACTAGGGAGACTACTTTCAGACAGAATGACGCTTATTACAATTTCGATTTATTTTACGACGTCATGAACGTCAATAATTGTATTGTTAGCGTGCGCCGCGTTTCGAACCCCTTGTCATTTGAAAACTTCAGAGAAATTTCATTTGTTTACATTTTGTTTTGATTTTTTCACTGTATATAGAGAACATGTTCCGATATTTGTCTCATGTAAAATTTTGTACGTAAATTTAAAAATGTGAACAGTAGAGCTGTAGTCCTATTACTTTTTGAACAACCCTCGTATATCGATTGATCTTGTCAAATTGAAAATACATTTACCATGTAGTTTTAATTTTATAAGACGTTGAAAATATCAGGTACCAAATTTGTAAATAACCAAATAAATACCTATAATGATTATACAATCAAGATTAAACACTTTCGTTTCTTTCAAAAATGAATCTGAATGATACAAAAAATGATGATAAAAGAATAGAAAGAAAGAAAAAGAAAGTTGACCCTACTGGGGTTTGAATTCACAACCCTTGATTTCAAAGCAGTTGCCAGAATTTGTAGCCAAGCTAAATACTCTTCAAGGTGGAGTTTATGCATTTGGATGGTAACACCTTCAGACATTCATTTAATGTATGTGTAATGGCAATTGATGGGTTTTTGATGGTGGAAATGAGGGTAAAACATCCATATAATAAGTGCATATCGACAAATTAAATAGTGAACTGCGTTTTCCATTTTCTTTTTATTAAAACGGCAGTAATGAGATTTGAGAGTTTAAACATACCTTTTGTTCATCATTCATGTTTATAAAATCAGCATTGATATCCTTGACTTTATCAAATAAAACATTTCTAAGAAGTTGGTAAGCAGGACATTGTGTTAACACATGTATTTGTGTTTCAACATTTTGTTTACAAATTAGACAGATCCTGTTGTTAATATCTAAATTCTCACATCTCCCTGTTTCCAGACGTAAGGGTACAACTCCACATCTAAATTTTGCTATTGTTAAGTATACATATATTTTAGTTTCATACCGATATTCAAACAGTTGATATGTCCGAAATTTGTTTCTGGTATTACCAACAAAACCAGTTGGACTAGATATACGTTGGTTCCATTCATTCAAATTCATACTATTTTGCCCAACCATAACACAAAATTTCCTAGATGACAAAACTTTACATATATCTTATATGTGATAAATTTGTCAATTTTAGATGTTCTACAAAATATGCGCTCCATATGCACAATACAGTATGCGCTCCATATACACAATTCAGAAACAATTTTAAATTAAAAACAGATCACCAGTTCATGACACAAAACCAGTGTGTGAAATATGCAAAATGTTAAATTTTACCTACCTTTCCTCAAGATACGCCGAGTAAATTAAAATTGCACTATCCGACGCAACTTTTTTAAATAAGTTTTCAAAATCTTTTTCATCTGAATAAGGTAAGTCTTTTTCATTTGAATAAGGTAAGTCTTTTTCATTTGAATAAGCTAAGTCTTTGTTATTTGAATAAGCTAAAACCTTTTCATTTGAATGTTCTAAGTCTTTTTTAGTCGAATTAAGTATCTTAACACTGTCTTTTTTCATACTATTTACAATTGTATCATTTCTATTGATTACAAATGTTCGTGAAGTATTATCCAAAGATACATCTGCAAATTTAGTCTTTTTAATATCCGAACAGATAAAAATTCTGTACACTATTATAACATATAAAACTAACTTAAAAACTGCTTTAGTCTTCATATTTAATTTAAAGACAAATTATAAAAATATATAAAAGAAAACTTATGAAAAAATGCAATAGCTTAAGGGCAAACAATAAATTTGTAGATATTTTGATACTAAAGTTGATAATAATGGATCAATAATTAATTGTTTTAAGACACGTACGTGTCCTCATAAAAGGCAACTATTTTGATTTGTCAATGTACAGGAATATTTACACATTGCATTAAAACATTTTCCGAATACAGTTTGATATTCATTAGCAGATAGACTGAACGTATGGACCTCTATATGCACATAGATCAGTTATAACTGCCACTAGCGTTCACGTGTTTTTAATAAAAAATTCCAGAACATTTGTATCAACGCTATATGTCGCAACGCCGCTATATGTCGCAACTAACGCTAAATGTTGCAACGCTGACGCTTTATGTCGCAATCAACGCTATATGTCTCAATCGCCTACCGCTAAATGTCGCAACGTTGCCGCTATATGTCGCACAAAAATCGATTGCCGCTTAATGTCGCAACCCCTTGACGCTAAATGTCGCACTTGGTAGGAAAGTAACAGATGGAACTGAAACAAAAAGTAAGTGTTAAAAAATTCAAAGTTTATACTATTTACACATGAAAACATATCCTAGTAACCAAACAAAGGTTTAATTTCGCGGTCTATGGCAAAAACCTTATATGGCCATAGAAACTGTTTTTGATAAAAGGGATGGATTTGGTTTTCAACCACGGACCAGGTGTGAGATCAAACTTTCTCTTTGAAGATGTCTTTCTCACAAAATGCATCAACAAAAACATTTGGATATACATGTATATTTGTAAATATATTATTTGACATAACTTTTTATATTTATCTCAATATTTCTTTGGGAACATTAATGAATCAATATACTATGGAATTGACAAATGTTGACTGCCTACTGCTTACTGTCAACTGCCTACTGTCAACTGCTTACGGCTTACTACTTATTATTCACTGCTTATAGCATTAAAATAAAAATGGACGGCCTATTACAACTGTATTGGTCAAACAATTATTCAGTTGCCGATAAAGTTGCCGTTCTGGAGGTCATGCACAATATAGTGCAGTGGTATATAGGCCACTTCCAACAGCCTTGCTGTTGGGTAAACCCTTTGGCGATGTGGTTGAGGTGTCCGCCTACGGACCAAGAGGTCTGTTGTGTCAGAAGTGTTTGACGGACTCATGCGGTAAGCAGGGAGTGACATTCAGGAGAACTGGCTAGCTCTGAAAAGTAAAGAGGGGAGAAGTGTAGTGGTTGTAGGTATATAGGCAACTTCCATCAGCCTTGCTGTTAGATTAACCCTTTAACGACGTGGTTGAGGTTTCCGTCTACGGACCATGAGGTCTGTGGTTCAAAACCCGGTAGGACCCTTGGTATTTTTCTGCCTCCTAATTTACCTAAATGTTGTTAGCTCTGAAAAGTAAAGAAGGGAGAAGTGTAGTGGTTGTAGGTATATAGGCAACTTCCATCAGCCTTGCTGTTAGATTAACCCTTTAACGACGTGGTTGAAGTTTCCGTCTACGGACCATGAGGTCTGTGGTTCAAAACCCGGTTGGACCCTTGGTATTTTCTGCCTCCTAATTTACTTTAATAGTTTACAGGTACACACATATTCTTAGAACAACATTTAAAGGAATTCACTGATAAATTAATAAATGCATGGACTGTAACATGTAATTCCATAAACGACAGCCAACTGTTGACTGCTTACTGTCTACTTCTGACTTACTACTGCCTACTGTTAACTGCCTACTGCTTACTGTCAACTGCTTACTGCCAATTGCATACTGTCAACAACTTACTCCCCTACTAGAAAACAAGAACAACAACAACAATTAGATAAATAAGTAAATACAAAAATGAATAAAAATAAATAAATACAGGTATTCTTTTATCCGTTTACATACAAAGGTTATAGGCTGACCCATGAAAAAATAGAGAAACTAAAAATCAAGCCAAAAAAGAAATTGTTTTATTTAATTTTACCCATGAAATATGGTGCTATATCAGTCAAATATATTTCATACTTTTTAAAAATAAATATGAAATATAAATATGAAAGTGGGCGGAGTCAAAACTCATATTTATTTCAAGGGACTTCTTTCGCCATTTTGTTTGAAAAATCTTATAAATACAAACAACTTTTTGTTGAATTTTGTTTGGAAAACTATCTAGAATGATAGAAAATGGTCTAACTAAGAAAATAAATCCGAACACCAATATCTTTCATTCAGTCATTAACGCTGTACAGACGTAAATATAACTGCCGTCCCGGCTCGTGAAAATATGTGGCATTTTATCATGTTTCGTGAAAATATATTCCATATTTCACTCAAACGAAAAAATATCCTCTTATTATTATATACTTATAAGTGAAATATTGAGAAATACTGATGAAATAAAATATTTTCAATTTTAGTATTTTCACTGTAAAAAGCTATTTTTCACTGTAGTGAAATATATTTTTCCGTATTTTCACTGCTGTCTTGCCGGACAACTTTCTTATAAATTCAGACAATACACATAATTTAAGGAGAATTCTTTCAAATTGTAATGTCAAAAAAAGAGAAGAGAAATCTATATGATAAACAGACAATTCAAGTTTGTTTCTATAAATACAGGATTTATTATCATCTTGTGGTATGGAAATTATCATATTTCATTCATGGCTACCGCCACTCATAAAATAATTATTGTCTTGCCACTAGATGAAAATAAATCCTGTATTTATAGAAAACACTTGAATATCCTCCATGAATTATGTCATAATATGTTCAAATGATGATAAGACAACAACTTAATACATGTAAATGTGAACATAATATTACCATTCACAAACGCATTCGTTTTCTGATGAAAACGTGACTTAAACAAACCCTGTTTCGATGAAAGCGATGCTACGCAAACTTAGAGCTGAAAACGAGGCGACAGTAAGAAAACGTCCCAAACGTATCTATGAAACAGTGAAAATGAGGCTAAAGAAAAAAACGTCCCAAACGCAACCGTGTAACGACGAAAACGAGGCAACAATAAGAAAACGTCACAAACGTAACCATGTCAGTTTTAAAACGAGGCTACAATATCAAAACGTCAAAAACGTGAGCATGTTTCAATTACAATAAAAACGAGGCTACAATAAGAAAACGTCACAAACGTATATATGTAACATTGAAAATGAAACTACGGGAAGAAGATGTTACAAACGTAACTATGTTATGATAATAACAAGAAAACAACAAGGAAACTTCACAAACGGCATGTTACAATACAAACGAGACTACAATGACAAAACGTAACTAGAATCTATAAGACTTTAACAAAACGCGTAACAAACATATCTATGTAACGATGAAAACAAAACTTATAAGAAAAATATAATTTAGTCCATTCGCTTTAGTATAGTTGGCTCAGAAAGTAGGTCCAAAACCGCACTGACATACTGGTATGTTAACATTTTGGAAATGAATAATTTTGCGATTTATGTCGCCAGAATAAGGCCACTGCCTCCAAACTGACAGAGGTCCAAACAGGAATGTTTCTACCACATATTAAAATTATATTAAAATCACTTTCAATTTTTTGTTTGCATCTGCGTGATGACATAATCTGCATACTTGGACATGACAAAAGTTCCAATAAAAATGATGATAAAATTTATCATATCTTTACAACGTGCTTCTATTTGTGCATTTTATCTATGGTCTTATATTTAAAGTCAAAGTGTTAAAAAATTGTTACGTTTTGACAAGATTCTTGTCATTCAGCATATTGCAGATGTGATATATGTGAGGAACGAACAACTCTGCTTCGAAATAATTTAGAAACATCAAAAATGAAACCATGGTGAAGTTAAAATGAGACTATGATACATTAAGTTAACAAATGTATCAGTGTTACGAGGAAAAAGAGGATGAAACTTATAGTGAAGGGAGAATATGAGATAATAATTTAATGTCATTTACGTGTTCGTGTTCATGTAAATCAGATAATAGAGTAACCATTCACAAACGTGTCCTTGTTTTGATCAAAACGAGAATAAACATGTAATAAGAAAATGTCACAAACGTAACCATATTGCAATACAAACGAGGCATCGTAAAGGAAACGTGACAAATGTAACTATGAAAACGAGGCTACAGTAAATAAACGTCACAAACGAATCCATGTAATAGTGAAAATGTGCTTTATAGGGAGAAAACGTCATGAACGTTACCATGTTACGATAAGAACGAGGCTAAAGAAGGTAAACGTCACAAACGTAACCATAACGAGGCTACAGTAACGAAACGTCACAAACGTAACCATTTAACAATGAAAACGAGGCTACATTAAAGAAACGTCACAAACGTAACCATGTAACAATGAAAACGAGGCTACAGTAAAGAAACGTCACAAACGTAACCATATAACAATGAAAACGAGGCTACAATAAAGAAACGTCACAAACGTAACCATGTAACAATGAAAACGAGGCTACATTAAAGAAATGTCATAAAACGTAACCATGTAACAATGGAAACGAGGCTACAGAAACAAACGTCACAAACGTAACCATGTAACAATGAAAAGAAGGCTACAGTAAGGAAACGTCACAAACGTATCTGCGTTACAGTGACAACGAGGAAAAAGTAAGGAAACGTCACAAACGTATCCGCGTAACAGGGAAAACGAAGCCACAGTAAGGAAACGTCACAAACGTAACCGCGTTACAGTGAAAACGAGGCAACAGTAAGGAAACGTCACAAACGTATCCGCGTTACAGTGAAAACGAGGCAACAGTAAGGAAACGTCACAAACATATCCGCGTTACAATGTAAACAAGGCAACAGTATGGAAACGTTACAAACGTATTCGCGTTTCAGATAAAACGCAGGAAAAGAGACTATAGTAACCCTATTATAATGAAAACGAGGCTACAATAAGGAAATGTGACACTGAAAACCAGGCTGCAATAAGGAAAACTTTACAAAAGTATTTCATGTAATGGTAAAACAAGGCAAATGTATCATTATAAAAATGAAAATGATACTTCATTTTAAAAACGCCACAAACGAAACCATGTTGAAGTAAATGAAGCTACAATATCAAACCATTACAAAAGTATCCATGTAACGGAGTAAAAACGAGGCTTAAACAAAGCACAGTATAATATGAGAAATTGGACACAGCACTTCGGATATCAAAATATTGTTGTATCCGGAAAGAGAACACACTGATGTTTCACATTTTATTACTCAATACATAAGTATATATCTGCTCTGAATTCAAATTACATAGACTGGGCTATTCGACCACTATTTATAATGACAGCTATAAACATTAAATGTTAAGATATAGTTCCCCCTTAGCAATAACAAGTTGTTTGCTCAGTTATGTCAAGTAATATAACAAATATACATGTATACCCAAATGTTTTTGTTGATGCATTTTGTGAGAAAGACATCCTAAAAGAGAAAGTTTGATCTCATACCTGGTCCGTGGTTGAGAACCAAATCCATCCCTTTAATCAAAAACTGTTTCTATGACCATACAAGGCTTTTGCCATAGACCGCGAAATACAACTTTTGTTTGGTTACCAGGATATGTTTTCATGTGTAAATGGTATAAACTTAAAATGTTTTAACACTTACTTTTTGATTCAGTTCCATCTGTTACTTTCCTACCAAGTGCGACATTTAGCGTCAAGGGATTGCGACATTTAGCGGCAATCAATTTTTGTGCGACATTTAGCGGTAGGCGATTGCGACTTATAGCGTTGATTACGACATATAGCGTCAGCGTTGCGACATTTAGCGTTAGTAGCGACATATAGCGGCGATGTGACATACAGCGTTGCTACATCATTCAATGCAATTTTCATCAGCAAATAAAGGGGCACAATTTTTGCTCGATTTCTGGATATATTTCTATATATTTTCCAAAATCAACCGCTGAAAACAGTCAACTGCATATCAATTGAACTTTTGTTCCAATATCATGGTATGCACACAAACTAGTTTGTTGAAAAATCATTTTTCAATATTTGTTTAATGCATTGCATAGAACAAATATGATAGATAAGAAGCTCGATATTGATAAATATACACCTAAACAACAACAACAACAACAACAACAACAAGAGATTACCTAACGGCGCAGGTCACTTTCGTTGTGATTGATCATGATATCCTTTCTATGTACCTCTGCCCATGCAGAAGTACAGCACTTAACCTTGCAAGAGTGAAGGCAACTATTAGCTGTAAGCTGCTTGACAGTATGCCCAGGGCTCTGATTTATTGAATGTCGCTTTCTGTCGTGATCCGGAGTGAAAACTATCAACGTGGCTTAACCATATGATCCGAATTCTTTGTAGATTGGACCATGGTATAGCTTGGACCCCCCTCTTTTGCAACATATAACACAGGGTCATATTTACGGCTTTTTAAGAAACAAGGTCGCAAAATGCCAAAATGAAAAAGGCCCTAGCCCGTATGCCATTTTTTTCTGCTACTATAAAGGCTGTACAAATACACAATATTGTGTATGTACTCTATTGCATTTTAGTCCGAGACACTTGCAAACCCATGTGGGGGTTCATGTTGCTTTGCATTTTCCTAAAATTAAACAGTATTCAAAATCGCTCATCGCTAAGAACCCAATCTGCTAAGAATGAAACTGTTCAGTAATGCTATTTTTTTATTCTTTTACTAAACTGATCAAATACACATGCCGTTTTTCGCGACTCTGTAAATATGGTAATGCACGACCGTGAATATTATTATTTTGACGTGACGTCATTTGCGATTTATAAACATAGCGTTAGGACGTTACACTATAGGCTCATGAATGAAAAAAGGCTCTTTTTCAATTCAATGGTCTTTATTTTTGGTATGTGATGAAAAGTATATTAAATTCCTGTAAGTTCATTACTTAATTAATTGAATTCTTAGGTAAAATATTATTATGCTTATAAGAGGCTCGCATATTATAACTTTTATTCAAATTTTTCAACAAATTCAGTATTAAACTTAGACTCATTCAATACCCTCTATTTTTACTTTAATGTTATGAAATACATTAAAATTATTTACCATTTCGTCTCCTTTATATTATTCTAATATTTATGTCAAAAGACAATGAATTCTGTTTTGTTCAAGATAGTTATGTTAAGAGAATATTGATTTTATAATTATAATTTGTCATGACTCTGATCTGCTTATTTGTGATTAATTGTATTCATGTATTGTATTACATGTATAAGTCGGTTATCGTTGTTTCAGGTGTTTATGAAGCTGTATTGTTTACATAGAGTGCTACAAAAATAAACAAACAAAAACAAAAAAAAAAAAAACAACAACAAAAAAACAAAAAACAAAAAAAAAAAACCGAGTGACTTGACAGTGAAGAGTTTTCGATTATTGCGATAAAGTAAAGCAAAAGTCTCGAACCTGCATCGACTGACGACAGGCTTCGACTTTATAAAACTGCACCGTACATGGGCAGTTAAATCAATTGCAGTTATTGAACCTTAAGCGAACACTTTCTGTTGCTTAAAGAAACATTGCCACCAGATGCCAGCAATCAATGGCGACATATTGTTCTTGAACTTTTTAAGTAATAAACCGTGACTCTAAGACGGTCCGATTGTGTTACGGATTGGCAAGTCAGTAGCTTTAATGTTTCCCTGTTTACAGCAATCTTGGGCACTTGGTTCTGACCCAAGAAAAGGTGACCGTTGCAAAATGTCCGTAGATTATCGGCCCTTGTTCTGTGTCGAGTTCGTTATATAAATGAAATTACGTATTTTCGTAAAAACACACCATATGTAATCTGCTGTATTTGATTTTGAGGAAAAATTGCTTGTGCAATAAGTTCCAATTAGCGGTCATACAATTAGTTTTCTGACAGCTCTAAATACAAAAATATGACCCAGTCAGTAAGCACGTGAAATTATAGACCTGCTTATATACAGTTCTAAAATAAAATAAAAAAGAGAGTAGTGATGAATTATTACACGAGAAATAAAGTTTAAACACTTGACCTGTTAATTACACTACCATTCCTACTGGAAGTATGAGGAGAAGGGTTGAGGTCATCACCTGGCACGTGGCGAGTTCACACGTTATTAAAAAATTGACTATATAATGTCATTTTAGGTTACGTAATCGTAAACATTTACCAAAAATATCCACCAGTAAATGTTTTGTAAACGCTCCAACGCCATACTTATAAACAATTACATTTTTGGTAAGAGCAACACATTTGCTTATGCTTCCATAATTTGGTAAAGAATAAACTAGACTCATAAATTAAATCGTTTAGTAATTTTAAATTGGTATCGCTACTTGTCACATCACTATTTCTCAGCTCAATTAGGTCGTCATGTCGTGACATTGCTTTCAATCACAACCAGTTTAAAATTCCGGGGTTTTCTAAACTGCAGGTGTATATATCGGTATAAAAATAATTCATTAACCGGGATATTATTCATAGATGGCGCTATAATAAATATATTTAGTCATAAAGATTGTAGGCAGGTTATATGGCCCTATATAAGCGGCTATTTGTAAATATAACCCTAGCCG